TTGTTTTTTGATGGCTGAGAAACAGTTGTACATTTACTAGATGACCATTTCATTCTGCTTCACTGAGATGCCCTGGATACAAAGGATTGCTTTTATTTCTCCTTGCCAGAGGTGAGGGAGAGGCTCAGACTCCACCCATCAGCTCCCTTCAAGGCCCTCCGGATGCAGATGTTCCTCCCCAGTGCTGAAACATGAACAGGTGAAGCCCTTCATCCTACCCTGCTAGCTGCTCAAACCCTTCCCTGACATCCAGCACTTTTGCTGGGCTTGCTCTCATAGGATTCATTCAAAGGACAAATATCTTTCTAAAGAGCAGAAGAAACTTCTAATGAATTGAAAGTGAGAGAAAAATCCTCATTTTAAGCAACATGCTTTTCCCATAAACCCAACGTAAATATTAAGAAATGTAAAAACCATGTATTATTGAGCAGTCTCTTGAAAGAGCAACTTTTAAGGTCACGTGTGGTGAGGAACAGATGGCTGCAGGCACCTTGCTCACCAGGAACTGGCCAGCTCTGCTTCTTGTTGGGGGTAGTGGAGAAAGGAAGAGGGCACGTGTTGAGAGGACACTGTGCCGTGGGTTCCTAGATCAGCCTCTGGGTTGGGAAGCTGAAAGCACTCAGGGAGAATGTTTAGGAGAAAGGATGGATGAAGAGATATCCCAACTCATACTCCACTCCTGTCAGTGTAAGGAGACAGGTTATTGGGATCTTCATTCTGTCTGACAGTCTGAGAGAGAGACTCAACTATCTCCTGTGACTAATGACCCATCATCCCCACTGGCCTGCTGCCCCTTTCCCTGGAGGTGGGGGTGGGGTGGTCACTTGTTCTGCAGAGCTGCGATGGAGGGCCACCTTTACCCAGGGGACTCCTGGTACCACTCTCAGCTGACTGAAGACTGTGGCAAACACCCACCCGGTGGGGCCAGGCCAGTTCCATGGAAATACAGAATTTGGAAGATCCCTCCTCCCTGCTTCTTCAGGGAAAATGTCTCCAAACTCATCCCTGAATGGAGCACTCCAGTCAGCTTGAGGAGGATGCTGGGCTTGGTGTCACCCCACACACCCCACACTACCTTGTATCCTTGGAGTTTGACAAAAATAGAGACAAGAAAATCGTACAGTCTCAACCTCTGCCAGCCAGTTAGCTCCAGTTTAAAAATGAAATCCAAAGTGTTGTTGCAGAAATGTGTGAGACTATTCCTTTCTGGATGTTAGTAAAATTTCTTTAATGTCCATCGATGGCTGGATAATGAGTTGTATCTATATGTCTCGTTTCAACTACCTATTTAAAATTCACTGAGCCATTAATCTATTCCCTGAGCTATGGAAATTTCGTTGCCAGTTTCTGTGACTTTGAAAAACTGTAGATCCCGTGTGCTCGGAGTGGCTTCATGTCAAGCCTTTATAGCTGGGTTAACTAATTTTGTGGCTTCTTAATGGTTGTGAGTTTACATTTTATTGCATATCTATTATTTGGGTTGGGCTGTGATGAATGGCTTGGCTGTCTGGCTCAAAACAAGTCCAAGGCGACAGCAGAATCTAATTTGCTTTAAAAATGATCATTATAAAGCTTTTCAAATAATAACCAGAAATGAAGGAAGCAGACACCACATTGCTGTACATGAAACATATGGTTGGAGGTGAAGTAGCGACATCCCTTCTTTTCCATGGAGCTTGTGGTTAAAGTGAGCTTCATTAGCGAAGCCAATGAGGCCTTCTCGTTCATCATGGGAAACAGCAATGCTTCTGTTTCCTTGAGAGTAAAGCTAATAACTTTCTGTTTGGCCTCAGACCAATTTCCAGAAATGATGTTCATGGGACAGGGGATGCTGCGGAGGCCTTGGCTGGTACCAGACAGTGTCTACACAGTGACACTCTCTGCTGAATGATGCAATCATGGCACACAGGACTAGTGATGCCTCGGGTGCCACCTGCATCCTTGAAGTCCAGTCTTGTTCCCTGCCTCTTAAAATATACTGGCCTTTCCCTTCATAACTCCTTTTGCAGAGGGGTCTGAAGCCATGAAGCATTCTGGGAATGTGTTAGAACTGTCCCTGAGAAACAGGCTGCTTTTCTCTTAATCTCCCCTCTACTCTTTCCTTATTCATGCCCATTAGCATCATCACAGGGTCTCTGTCCATTTAGGGAAGGTGGAGGCAGAGGATATTGCAGTCAGCAAGGGGTGGCTAAGTACAGGAGGGAGGATCTCCTCCAGTGGTGTGCTGGTCAGTGATGAACAACAAACTCTTTGGAAATAAAAGTTCCTCTCTTCTAGCAGCATTTGTGTGGTGCAAATTTCTGCAGTGTAAACACTCCCATCATGGTCGATTTCAAGCTACCAGATGTTTGACAAATACCTTGCAAAATTCTTGAAAATTTCACAATTGTCTCTCATGAGACAAGTCTAGGGATCTGCTGATACTTCTACACATTCTAAAAAGCAGACATCTATTCTAGGGAGCAAGGTCCTTGATCCACACAGCAAATACCACCTACAGCGGATTAAGCCTACCTGTCACTCACAGTTTGCTGTGAGCCACTGACTGTAAGTAGATATGACGGTTAATGGTGGGCAGGAAGGAGGCTGATGGAGAACTACGCAAGGTCAAAGATTACCTAACAAAGCACTGTAATTACTAGGTGAACTTGGACTTCAGCACTAGGACTCTGTGGACTGGAAAGGTACCCCAATTTCAAACTCACAGATACTTCCCACAGGGATGAATCTTAACTGGTTTCTCTCCTCTTATATCATACAAGTGCCTCTTCTATTTGTCACAAGAGCCCTTCTTGCCAACAAATCAAGAGGATACTTTCTTAGGGTTTGTGAATGTTTGGAATAACAGCAGCTCCAAAGAAATGTCAACATGAAGTAGGAATACCTACCTGGTAGAGAAGTCCTAACATGGTGCTGTGGGATAAGCACTAGACTGCTATCCACAAACACAGCAACCCCTCCTTGGAAACCCTATGCAAGGTTGCTATGCATTGGAACTGAGTTGATGGCACTTAACAATAGCAATGAGGTAGAGGCTGAGGCTGGGGAAGAACATGCGGGCATCTGTGGCTTACTGTATTTGGTGTCTCCTAGGGGACTTTGTGGCGCTGTGGGTTAACACGTCAGACTGCAAAGCCATTTGAACTGCAAGGTCGGTGGTTCAGGGTCACCAGAAGCTCCTTGGAAACCCTATACAGGGTTGCTATGGGTCGGAACTGACTCAATGGCACTTAAAACCACAACAAGTGGACTTAAAACATTTACTGATGAAGAGCAAAAGAAGATCAAAGCACAGCCTTCGGTATGGATTACATCTCAATGTAAAGAACACAAAAATCCTCACCACTGGACCAATAAACAACATTCTTATCAACAGAGAAAGGACTGAAGTTGTCAAGGACTTCATTCTTCTTAGATCAACTATCAACACTCATGGAAGCAGCAGTCAAGAAATCAAACGACGTATTGCATTAGGCAAATCTGCTGCACAAGACCTTTTTAAAGTACTGAAGAGCAAAGATGTCAGCTTGAGGACTAAGGTGTGCCTAACCCAAGCCATGGTATTTTCAATAGCCTCATATGCATGCGAAAGCTGGACAGTGAATAAGGAAGACAGTAGAAGAATTGATGCTTTTGAGTTATGGTATTGGAGGAGAATATTGAAAATGCCATGGGCTGCCAAAGGAACCAATAGATCCGTTTTGGAAGAAGTGCAGCCAGAGTGCTCCTTGGAGGCTAAAATGGCCAAACTTCGTCTCTCATACTTCGGACATATTGTCAGGAGGGACCAGTCTCTGGAGAAGGATATTATGTTTGGTAAGGTGGAGGGTCAGAGAGAAAGAGGAAGACCCCCGACGAGATGGATTGGCCAAGTGGCAGCATCGATGGACTCAAGCGTGGCAACAGTAGTGAGGCTGACCCAGGATTGGGCAGTGTTTCGTTCTACTATGCATAGGGCCGCTATGAGTCGATGACACCTAACAACAACAAAAAAACAGGACTTGCACATACCTCTCAAAGTCCACAACCTACAGTTAGAAGCCCTGAACTTGCAGGCCTTGTCCTAGGGTTTGCCACCTGGGTGGCACAGAAATTATCTCCTTTGCCCAGAGCCTGAATGCTGTCACCAGCAAAAATGGACTTCATTTCCCTGTGGCCAAGAATGTACCCACCAATCCTGGGTTTTGGCACAACACTGCTTTTCCCTCTCCTCACACTGATTTCTGTCTGGAGCCATCTCTCATCACTGGGAACACCTGTCCCAGCTCCACCTATGTGTAACAAGAGGTAATCTCTTGAGAGATCTATCACCTGAGGGAAAAGCATAGGTCCTCATGATACCCTGTCTACTCTTCCATGAACCAGGTAGGGAGCCTAGAGAGGGCCACCCAGAACACCTCCTCTGTTTTCACATTGAACATCTGTTTTCTGTTCCTCTCTAGGGATTCCCCTACCTCTCTCCAACATGCACCTACTCAGTCGTTGGTGTTCTCCTGTAGTACTTGTCCTCAGGCAGGGTTCCCTGGTGGTGGTGCTATGCCGTGGAGTTGGTTCCGACTCATAGCGACCCTATACAGGGTTTCCAAGGCTGTGAATCTTTTCGAGAGCAGAAAGCCTCATTTCCCGCGGAACAGCTGGTAGTTTCTAACTGCTGACCTTGCAGTTCGCAGCCTGATTGTAAACACTATGAGCCCTAAAATCTGCTCCCTCCATGTGCAGCCAAAGAACACACCGGTGTCTAGTAGTACCCTCACAACCCCATTTAAACCAAAGTTCTGGATTTCTCAAACAACAAGGAGATAAACCTTTCTCAAAAAACATTCCCTCTCCCCCATAGTCTCCTTTTGTAAAAGACCAAGATTATTGCAAAACAAATTCAACAGTTTTCACCAAGAAACCAATCTAGAGACCATCAAGAACACGCTCCGGGTCCTGACAACATTTTGGTGTCAAAACCAGCCCCTTTGCCCACTAGGACCCCAACCTGGGATCTGACTTACGGAAGGCCGTGTAGAACTCGTGGAGGGTCAGGGAACCATCGTTGTTGTAGTCATCAAAGTGGAGGAGGTCGACCAGCGAGCATCCCATGAATTCCTCATTATCCAGGTCCTGCTCCTTCATCACGTGCTGTGGGGTAAGTAGGGGGTAGAAGTTCAGAGCCTGGAGAGGGATCAGTAACAGAGGCACTGCTGGGAAATAATGCTAAGCATGGTATTGGTCACCAGCCCGATGGAGGGCAAAGGCTCAAGGAGAACACCAAGATGTCTTTGGTTTTGACTTGTCTGACTCCTCATTTTATAGATGAGAAAACCAAGGCTCAGAGAGGGAAACGTACTTTCCCAAGGTCACACATGGTTGGTAAAGAGTCAGAAGTAGCATACAAGTCTGTCTTCTCTGATCTGCGCTCTCAGAACCCAGACAATCTGAGCTAGGAAGAATCCTGAGGCTACCTGGTCTACCACTTTGTGCAAAAATGGGGAAACAGCAAAGAAGGGTCTTGATCATGTAACTGCAATCAACACTGGCTGAACTCAGAATGGGGAACTGCAGTTACTTGGCCTCCAGCTGCAGTGTGCAGGAAGGTTACTTACTACTCCATCACTGCCATGTCCCTACTTTTGGTGGCACTCCAGTGCTGACCAATCGCAGACTGGTGCCTCTTACCCACAGCATGCCTCAGAGAGGGGCAACTGCCTTGATACCAACCTAGTCTAAGCCTCTGGTGTGGTGCTGTAGGATTAGTACTAGACTGTGAACCACAAGTTCAGCTGTTCAAACCCACCAGCTGCTCCTCGGAAACCTTATACAGGGGTGTTGGAACTGACTCAATGGCACTTAACAACAAGAAGAAACCTAAGCTCCACCTATTTCCAACCCTGTCTTTCCAGGGACACAAATGCCCACCCTTGGGATGCTGGCAGGGGCCTTGGTGGGCCTTTGTGAACTCCTGATGGTAGCCTGGGCCACAGGGCACAGAGAGTTGCCCAGCATGACCAGCCGCATGCCCAAGGGTGACTGCTGTTTCTATTATTGTTGTTGTTGTTGTCAGGTGCCATCGAGTCGGAACCGACTCATAGCGACCCCATGCACAGCAGAACGAAACAATGTCCGATCCTGGGCCAACCTCAC